CTGTTTCTTGTCCTAATTTTTTTCATACTTTTTTGGCAATGAATTCTTCTCGCAAATTAAAGCAGAGAATCGATTCACGCAAAAATTAAAAAATTAATTGTGGTTCTACGCTTTTTCGAATGAAATATTTTAAAAAAATCAATAGTAGATGTTTTCAAGTGGTTAGCAATATTATGGAATGATTAAATTGAAATTTGTCAAACATATTGTGAATCTTTTTGTTTTTGAAATGAGTTAATCGAGACTCATATTTATTACTGTTGGTGGAAGATGTCGTCCCTGAAGAGAACGACTTCCCAAAAAATGATGGGGCGGATAACCGCCATCCTATGCTAACTGCTATTACAAACAGTCGAACGTACATTCTCAACAATCATACCAATCAATCATTCAGGAGGGTAGGATCAGACTATCTTAACAATAGCAGTGCAAATTATCCGCTTCTTTCCTATTCTCAGCAGCCTTATCATATCAATGATGCCAACGTTGGACAGATTGTTGATCAGTGACAATCAGAGAGATAAAAGAATCGGTGCATTCACAGATCACAGTCAAGGGCTAATCGATTCATTATATTGTGAGATGACTAACTAAAAATTTGTTAAATGTATTGTGAATCGGAGTTTATGAAATGAACTTCTTGAGGTTCAATTTCATCATTTAAGTCAGTACATATTTCATTTGATTGAAGAAGAGAACTTGCCAATGGTGAATGATAGATAGATTATTAAATAATAATGCATGTGCATAATATACCTTATCTCTGTCTTTCTGATCATTACTGATTAGTAATCTGTCTATCATTGGCATGTCTGATATGATAAAACTGGCGAAATTGCTCAAACTTGCAACCTGTCTTCTGCTTTGTTTGGTTCATGTTATGAATGATTGGCCTGATTACCGGCTAACTGGATTCGTTCGTTTTAGTTGGTACTGGATTGATGATTAGATGGCGATAATCCGCTCCATTATTTTTTAAGGAAGTCGCTCTCGTCAGGCGACAATGCCCATTGACAACAGCAAATTTGAATCTCAAGAAACTCATTTCATAAATTTTGATCTGTAATATATTTGATAAATTTTTAATCAATCACTTCATAATATTGCTAATCGCTTGAAAACTATTGTTTTTTTCAAACATTTTATTTGGAGAAAGCGTAGAATCACCATTAATCTTTTAATTCGAGAAATAGCTTAATTTTGGATTTTGAAAAAATACTTCTTAAAATTTCTTAAGAACTTCTTAAAATTACTGTCAATAAAAATTTCTCTTGCGAAATTCAACGGACGATGAAAAAATTTGAATTTGGAAGAAAACCACTACGAATGATCATCGTCATTATACTGTGACGAATTCCAAAAAATAAATAAGCTGATAATTCCGCTGTCACATATTCTAATTTGTCAAATATTCTGACTCAAATAAAAAGGTAGTATTAAGTGACTGTGTGGATGTTTTCTTTGTTTGTAAGTTTGAGACAGAATGTTATGTTTCATTGAAATCTTAAAGTATTGGGACTGTAAATGATGGATGGTTTGATGATCAGAAAACATATGAGAAAAAGATATGTCTTACTTTAAGAGAAATAATCTTAAATCGGTCAGTTAAGAACTTTCATGAAATCACTTATTGATAAATTCCAAGCAAATTAATGCAAAAACTGATCAATTTAAAATCGCCAAATGTTTGGATAATTTTAGGTTACTTGAATACATAGAAATGTATTTTTAAATTCCTACAATTCAAAGTTAATTCGTTCATCAATTAAAATATATGAAAATATTTCCACTTTGCTTAATTTACTTAGAACTAAATTTTATGTTCATAATGGTATTCAAGGTGTAGTAGTGCAGAATCATTATTAGAGCTGGTATTTTGCATTTAAAGTTAACAGACGGAATAGTATTGTAATAAAAAGCATATGAATTTTGCCAAATTTAAGCTGATATGTGAAATTCATTTTCTAAAATATTAATTTTAAAGAGGGTTAAAGTTTTAGTGCTGTTTTGAAGATGACTAAATTTGTCTGATTTCATGATTTCATTTAATTAGAGTGAAATGTAGTAAATATATGCTATATTTTAATTACTGTGCATTGGACGATTTTTGTGCATTCTTGAGTTAGAAGTTTGTCACTGAACGATTTCCATTTATTCATTCCATTTAAATATTCTCATTTTCATTGTTCCGTCCGCAGTTGTCAATTCCGTCTTCGCCGGTGGGAATCATTAATGCGTCCAAAAATAGGCGTATATTCTGTTGTTTATCATACATCATATCTTTTCATTTAAAAACTGATTATATTAAAAAGTTTGCATTAGTGACGTCAGACTATAAATGTATGGATCATTTCATTGTTATGAGAGACACTGAATTTTATACATGTTAGCATGATTTTGATTGAGAACGATCTGTTTTGTAATAAATATATTAGTGGTACGTGTGGATGATATTACGGTATCAGCGATGTTCGATATTTAACTTTGAAAATGTTCATTTTATGTTTCAAAAAGGACAAGTTTTTGTAAAATTTTTTTTTGTACACAGTTTGTAAATATTATTATTTAGAAATTGTGTTAGAGCAAATTCACAGTATCTATCTTCTAATTAATCTATTTAATTGTTCACTGATTAGATTATTGGTTAATATCCCGACGTATTAGAATTCTAAGGATTTCGGATAAGTATTAATAGAAATATGTTCATTAAGTTTTGGATCGGCTCATATATACTTTCGTTATGATGAGGTGAAAGTTCATACAAATTTAGTTTTGCTCAAAAGCATCATTTCACACTTTGCATGACTGATATTATGCAATGCCAATGTTGTAAAAAGCTATTGACAGATATAAATTTGATGAAATAACACAGAAATCCTTGCAATAAAAAAAAGAATTGAATATTTAAGAGTAAGAAATAAAAATGAAATGCATCATTTTCACATAAAAGATATGACAAAGGTAAAATTAACAAAAACAGCATATACAAAAGGTATTTGATAATAATTTTTATTGGTCATAACGGTAGAAAAAGCAAAAAAAATGAAAAATAGTAATAAAAAAGGCATGGATAAAAGCAGTATTAGCTTAATAGAATGGTTTATTTCCATTTAAATTGGTGGAATATGTTGTTTGTATTAAAATGAATGAATGAGTTCACACAAATGAAAAATAAATATATTGCGAATTCATTATTATATATATCATTGCAAACCATTAAAAGCGTTTAAAAATATTAAAATGCAAATTGCAATAATACCAACATTTTTTTTGTTAAAATTTATTCAGCAAATCAATTTCCCCATTAGCAGTTATTCGAAAGAGAATATTTTACTTCAGATCATCTCAATTAAGACCATATTGAATTAGAATGAAAATAAATGACGTGTGGAATGCAGCAAATAAATTAGATGTTAATCTGTCAACAATTAAACTATTATTACTCATCTCTGCTATTATAATCTATCCGTGATATCATTGTATTAACCTTGCTTATTTACTTTAAATTTGGTTGATAAAAATAAAATTCGGCCATGAAATTGTTGGATTTTTATTCAATGTAATTTGCGAATTATTGGCAAAATTTTCTGCCATTTCATGTTGCATACATGCGATTCAATAAAATAGAATTCTTCTATCAGTGGTGATAACTGCATCACCATAGAATTCATTTATAAAAAAACGTTTTTTTTCTATTCAAAATCCCACATCATTTGTCCTAAAATTAAATACATTTTGATGATCGTTGCAAAAAAAATAAATAGTTGGGGTCAAATTTAAACGGATCCATTCCATAATTCACCACGGGTTCTGCGTATTTTCTCTCCTTCCTTTTTCTTTTGGCTTATTTTTTGGGAACATGAAAATTTACAATTATTTTGGTGCTATTATATTAATCTTTAAGCTCGTCATGAATGAATAATATTAGTTGACCTGAAAGATCTCTTGAATCATTCGCAAATTTTATGACACGTCTTCTGCAATGTATAACCCCTCGAATTGAATCAGTTGGAAATATGCTTTCTCTTTTTTTGAATATTTATTAAATACCTCAACGAATACTACCCGAATTTTCAACTGCGAAATTTACAGTCGGATTGGTAGAGAGATGAATTTTACAAGTTATATAAGCAATTGAACATTTGCATATTTAAGGTTTGTCATTGTGTTCAGATCACATTTCTAATCTTTCTTATATGGGGATTTGACAATAATTGATATTCTTATAAGGTCGCCGATAAGGAAACCGACAACAAAAAGAACTGTCTTTCATATATAATAATCTTTAGATCTTTCATTTTTTGCTGAGAATTGCGGCCGAATATCAAACTATGAAACGGCCACACATTTTACAATTGAAACGAAGGTTTTGTGACATCATCGAAATGTGAGGACTTTCAGAAATATAAAATAAATTTTGCTTCTGCTTGAATTTCTTCACTTTGCAGACTAATACTTCAAAGTTCTTACTAATTTTTTAAGAATTGGAAACTTTCTTATTTCCTGTCCTAATTCTCAGAATTTTCAGTTTAATTGCATGTTTGCAAAAAGCAGTTAGATGAGAGTTGCACAACTAAAAATGGTAAACTTTTCCAGATTTCTAGTAAAATAATATTAAATTGGAGTAGCAAACACTTTTAATTTTTAGTTTGTGAATAACAAAGAATGTGAACTGCAATTTTCGATTCAGTTTTCGAATTGATTATTAACGGTTGCTCAATGTTTGTAATAGACACGAATCGAATTACTGTTCATTTATTTTTAAAGTGTGATTATGATATGATCAATTTTTGGAAGATTGATTCGAAAAGTAAATTCTAAACAAAGAGTTTTTTCCTTCTTTTCCCCTCAATTTGCAATATCATTACTTAGTGTGCTTGGTTAAGTAACTTTCTGGACTTCCGAGTATGATGATGTCGTCGAATAAAGGTGATACTCCCATCATCATATTTCCGATAGGATGGTTCAATTTTATGAACAGCTGCTGTTTTGGCGGAACGTGGTGGGCAAGGGCAGTATGCTGCATCTCCACCAGGTACGCCAGGTGCTCCAGGCTAAAATATAAATTATTCTTCGAGAATAAACCATTTTTTTCATTTTAGGTACAGATACACTAATGTTAGCTGAAATTTGGCCGTACAAGAAATGCAAGATTTAAAAAAAAACATACCTCGCCAGGCTGGCCAGGTGTTCCAGCAGTCCCTGGTTGTCCACCTGGTCCTGGAGGTCCGGGTGGACCTATTGGACCAGGTAGGGCAGCTTCACCAGGCGCACCAGCATTTCCTACTGGACCAATTGGACCTGGTGCTCCTTTTTGTCCTGGATTACCGCGTCCTTGAACTCCTGGTACTCCCGGTGCTCCAGGTAATCCTTCTCTTCCTGGTGGACCTGAAAAAAATCATACAACTAAACAACTGGAAAATTTTTTACAATTCTTACTGCTTTCAAAAATAAACATTCAGTATGAATGTTACAAAGATGATTTACCTGCTTTTCCGATATCTCCGGGTTCTCCTGGTGGTCCTGGCTGTCCCATACCGCCGCCAGTGCTAGGTTTGCCTGGCATTCCAGCTGGACCTGGTGGTCCAGCCTGTCCTATTGGACCTGGAGGTCCAGGTAGTCCAGGTGGACAAGCAATGCAACCTCCGCGTGTATTGCTACCTGTTGATACAGCAATACCATTTGGTCCTGGTCTGCCATCTAAACCGCGTTCACCTGGTTCTGAAAATTCCGACAATCTCATTTCAGATTTAATCTTCAGATTTTTTAATGGTTATTACATTGATAAAGACAAATTATTAGAATGCTTTCCATACCAGATGATCAAAAAAGTGAAGTGACGATTATTTTTTGATATCAGCTATTGAAATTACCTCCCGCTAGACCATCATCTCCTGGTGGTCCGGGTGGTCCTGCTGGGCAATTTATAGCTTGAAGCGCACACGCTGAAAATAAAATTTGTAATCACATTTGACTTGGTAAGTTCAATTTTCAAAAATTTGCCATTGTTTCATCGATTCAAATGCAAAAAAAAGTATTCTTGTCTTTTTATATATTCTTTTCACTCATTCCTTATTTATTCTATCAAAAAAACTGATTTTTTAAAATATTTTTTGGTAAATTCCAGCTTACCACAAATAGCACGACGTTTTTGACGTGATTTTAAACCTAATAAAAACGTAAGTGATTCTTTGTTGGTGTCACCTGCCTTATAATTCCCATGAACACTCATCATCTCATCCCACGCATCATTTGCTAACGTCTAAAATCATTGCATTTAAGAATGTCTGTTTCAGTGGTATGTCATTTCAGTGCAAATGTTACGATTATTTGAAATTTAATATTCCGTACAATTGAACAATGACAAAACTTGTTTTTATAATTTGATTCAACTTATACTATGTTAATTTTTGCTTCTTTTAATCAATAAGATATAATTCATCATTTCTTTCACCGCATCTTTCTATAAGTAACTATTATTGATTTGTAAATTTTCATCCAACCGAGTCACAAACAAACCTTAAACTCATCCATATCATCCAATACTTCATAGTAAAAGCTATTAATATCCTGGAATAAGATGCCGACAATGATTAGCGATGTTATGATAACCAAACCGCTTGCAGTGGATGCTATGTTAACAAGCACCTGTGCTCCCATTTCTGAAAATTTCCTTTTTTTTCTTGTTAAGTATGGAAGAAATTTTGCTTAATTTTTTCGTTTTCTTAACTTTTAAGTGAACCGTAAAAGTAACATTAAAAAAAGAACAAAATTATTAATTGCATGTTTTAGCAAAATTTCTCACTGCACTTCACTTCTTTTACCTGTAATGCATCAATCGACAAAGTAATGCAATCAAATATTTTGTAATGTTTAAATTTGAAAGAACAAACTAATACAAGGCAAAAAAAATCAACCAGCTTTTTGCTTTCGGTTGAATAAAAACAAAAAAAACGGGAATTGAAAATGTCAAGAATAAAAAGATGTTTCTCGCCAACTTCATTTGATATTCAAGTCAGAAACGAAAAAAATATCTGTGAAGATATAAAGTACCTCCGTAGCAATTATATAGGCGTTTTCGATACTTTTATGAGACCCACCCATTTTGAAAACTTGTTTTCTAATGGAAAAGAAAAAAGTTGGAAGAAAACGCGGAAATTTCTTCTATTTTTTCCTTTCTTTTTTTTCTTTCCAGCTAATTTTTATTGCTAACTGTTTATGATATGATTGAGATAAATATTTATTGAAAGCAAAAATATTATTTTCCGATTTTAATACATAATATATAAACATTTTAATACATAAACAAAATCTTCCAATTTCAAATTTTCCTAATCGATTTCATTCCGAAAATATTTAAATGCTTTTTTTAGTTTTTTTTTTCTAAAAAAATTCTATGAAAAATGTTTTTTTCTTTGTATAATACTTTCAGGTATGATATGAATGAGAGAAAAAAGTATAAAGTGACCCAATATTTCGTGATTTATTATTTTTTATCGGAATAAATATAATACAACGGATACTTTTTGGGGTTATTTAATTCTTATTTTACTGCTCTATAATTGAATGAAATGATTTATTTAAAAATATTCATTTCGTCAAATGTGATATCAAACTATTCGACTAATTTGATTGATGAATTTTGAATTTGATTATTGGGTCAATCAACAATTATAATAATTCATAAATTTATGTTTTCAAACGTGCATAGCGTCTGTTTATCGTACAAATTTGAATTGACATTGAAATGATATGATAAGAATTGTCATATGATATGATACGATGTAAATCATTTTCTAAAAATTTATTGTTTCTTATCATAATGAAATCACAATAGATTCTATCAAATTGATTTAGATTTTGTGAGGCATTCATTTCATAACATTTCTTTTATCGTATCATTTTCATTGGATGTGACAGTATTATATTGTTCTGCATTATTTATATGTTTAAATTTCGCATTTCCATGCTTTGCTATCTTTATCCTTACACATGAAATTTAAAACAAAAATTTAAATTTAAATTTTAAATTTAAAACAGAAAACACGAAAATGAACAATTTTGGGATTCTCAGATTATTTGTTATTAGAAAACGAGCAAATCAAAATGAACAAAAAACGGCACCATCATGAACAAAGCACACCTCCATAAAAAATTTTAATTTCTAATAACATTGCTTAACATCTACTTGACCTGTAAGATTTTTGAGCTGCTTCAACAATAATTTGAACTGATTTAAAATTAATTCCTTCTATCGCTTTCCGATTTCTAGTAAAATCTTGCAAATATCCCCAATAAACAATATTTTATTCTTACATTGACAGTGAAAAAATTCCAGAAATTCTCAAGAATAGCCAAACGATTTCATTACTTATCATTCAAAATTTCCTCCTCAATTATCATGCCAAAGAGTGAACTAATTATTCGACAATTAGATATTAGTTCCCCTAAGTATCACGAAATATGTGCTGAAATTTGCAAATGCCATACACATCTATTCTTCTTTCATTTTTACCATAATTTTTTAGCATTTCACTTCAATCTTATTCCTATAAATTCCTTTAATCATAACAATCGTATATTAAATTCGCCAGATCATTAAGCATGTAAAGGATTAGGGTGAAGCCAAGGCTTTTTTTGAGCAATTTTATAGTTCAATTCTTCTATATAACTGTTCATATATTTATGAGACTAATTGTTTCCAGGCCAATACATGATAGTATTTCTTTTGGCTAAACTAAGACAACATAATGTCTTTGGCTAATTTTGCTTAACACTTGCAGCATATATGTACAAATTTCGCTTAAATTATAATTTTATCCATGCTGATAATTCATTCATTACATATACTAACATTATATCACATTTGCAATTATTTTAAATTTAACTGCACGCAATTCAATATTTAAAGTCAATTTTTAATTGTTAATTTGTAAAGGAAGATGCTAGCGATATAAATTCCGTTTTTTTTCCTTTTCCCGAAACAGTTTTACAAAAAATTGTTAATGAACAACTGTAGAAATATTGAAACGCAAAATTGCGCGGCAGTTTAAAGGAGGAAATATGATTGTTCGAAAATGATTTTCTTTTAGTCAGAAATTTCGCAACTCCAATTGTTTTTCAAAACTAAAATTGCTAAGGATGGTTTTTGCAACAATGATTTTCAATTTATTTGAAGAATTAAATCAAATATTGATTGATGAAAAAATATCGCCATCGCCAAGCAAATATTTCTTTTACATAAAATCAAAATTGCCTATGACAGCATTCTTTCTAACTTGTAGAAAGTTACCTATTACAGGTGATCGTAAGAGCGTAAGTATTGTCACTAAATGAAAAATCAATTAATTATAATTAGAATTCGCTTGAAACAAATAAATTTTGAAAAATGTAAATTATTGTCAGACAAAATGTCACATTTCCTTTATTAAACCAACAATTTAAACAAATGGACAAATTGATTTAACGCAAAAAATTAATAAATACATCCATACAAGGAGAAGAAAATAATTTTGGACGATAAATGACGATGTTCGTAAATTTGTCACAACTTAACTGATGTTTTTTTCCTTACAAGTTGTTTAGAAAAAATAATAAAATGAAATTTCAAGAAATTGAGGGCGAGAGGGAAAGAAATAATTTCACTTGAATACATGGATAATTTTATAAGAGAAATAATTGATGAAGACATTTTTCTGATTTGCAACATACATGATGTTAACAATTTCTGATATTGAGGTTAAGGTCAAGTTTATAGATATACGCGTTAATGTTTAGCAGGATTATATTTGCAATCGTAAGAGATTTCAATTGCAAAGTGGAAATAAAATAATAAATATATTTCTAATTTTTTCGATTTCTTAATTACATAATTTTTATGACGAATGAGTTTATTTGTAATCAAATTCGAATTTAATTATAATTTTCTTCGAAGAATTTTTCAGAGTAACATTCTTCCTCATTAATGACAATTTATTATACTTTTTTTGCGCTTATTTTTTAATTAAAGAAGAAATGATTTTATTAAGGAAGTTTGCTGAAAAATATGTCACTGCACAATTTCAGCCAGTATTTTTACATTGAGGAAAAATAATTTCTCATCACCATTATAAATTAATAAAGTAAAAAAATGCATCTATGTAAATCATAATTTTTTTGAAGTTTCGATTTTACAGAAAAATTATTTCTCAATTTCAAATATCTGACAATTATAAGATTACAAAAGGGTCAGCAGGATTATCCGAATTAATTTTTGATAATGTACTGTATTCGGGTAATCTTCAATTGAAGTAAGGATGCAGTAAAAAATATTCTCAGATAAGCTTTCTTTATTTAACCATTTCATTCTGGAAAAGAAGCTAATAATATTTGTCTAGTATATCAGTTTATTTTACTGGCTGATTAAAACGTTGAAATATCGACAGGATCAACTGTGATCAAATTGATATCTTAAGGTGACTGATGTTTCGAGAGTCTGCTCCATACACTTTTCATTTATAGATGGAAAGCTGTGAAATTTCAATTGATTAAATTAGTTTATGCCCAAGGGCAGGTAGAATTGACTAATGAAAAGATGCATTTTCAAACTTTCATGGATAGAAAAGTTTTAAAAATTAAAAACTAGTAATTAAAAATTTTTTTGATATCTTACTTAACGGAAAGCAACGACAAGAATATGAATATTTTATATTCCGAAAATGTCAAACACGACACTCGAAAAAAAGCTATTAAATTATTTTGAGATGAATACCATGATATCATCTGATATTCGTTTACATTTCGTTTATGCAATGTAAAATCAGGAATTGCTAGTCAGGAAGACGAGAAAACAAGTGCTGAATTTAATGTGATATGGCCACTGATTCATGCAATTTTTGCGATTTAACATCAGAATTATAATTAAAATGCAATTATTTTCGTGTTTACATTTAATGGCATCTTTTTAATCGGAAAAATTGAAGAAAATTCCTTCAATTTTCAAATAATTGAATAAGGAAGGAAAAATTGAAAAAACGAAACAAACTAATCTTCGAATATATTCTGCACTTCATTTGTGTATTTTTATAGCGTTCATTATATTTAGTATCGTGGAAAAAAAATAATTAAAAAAAGAATGCGATGATGAAACAAAAGAAGCAGTGTTGTTGTATTTTATCTTCGATAGTAAAAATAAAAATAACATTTGCAAAAAAGTTATTCAATAATAATATTATCCTCTTTGAAGTAATGATTATAAAATTTAATTGCTTTCGGTAATTTACTTCATTTAAGGCTTTACGAAAACTTTAGGTCTAAAAATAATTTGAAATGCAACACATCATTTAAGTATTTCTGTTCTCAGACAATAAAATTATTTTATTTACTAATTGTAAGCTATCAAATTAGAGAAAAATATAATTTAAAAACTATTATTTCAAAGTAATTCTATTTTTTTCACACAACAAGTTTTTATTTATTGGATCTAATAAGAACTGTTAATGTTCTTCAGTATCTTATAAATATTTTATTATGAATTACATTTCATATTTCGTTGTAATTAATCTCAACGTTGTTATTTATTTTGTGATATAGAAACTAATATTAGATTGGTTACAAAATTGAACTAACATTTTATTTTTCAGTTTCAAAAGATTAACTTTAAAAAAAACGGAACGGATCTAAACTGAAGTCATTCAAATGATAATAAACTAAAACTGCTCGAAAGATTATAATTTACTGAATAGTCAATATTTATTATTCAAAATTTCAAACATTCTTATGCTTTCTTATGCTATCTTTTAATTTTATGTGCAATTAGTAATATAAATGAAATGACATTTATAGCATAAATATTAAGATATTAAAATACACTAAGTTACGCTTTTGAAGATTTAAATTAGTTAAATTACGTTGCATTCCTTTTAAAAAATTCAATTAAATTGAATTGTATAAATGACTGAAAGATTTAGAAGCTTTTTCTTTTCATTTGATATAATTCGAGAACAGGTATTTTTATTTCACTTTTTTTGCTAAGTAGTAAATCAAATTCCAAATCAATTTTTTATTCTGAAAATGAACATAACAAAAATTGATCTTTAGTAGAGAGAAATTTTTTGAAAGTGATTATTACTACATTATTACAAATCTTTAACTTTCAATAATTTCATTCGTTTTAATTTTCGCTTATTTTAAAATAAGTGAAGGAATGCTTAAAAATTTTTATTTTAATAATTTTAATGCTGAGAAATGACTAAAGATTATTAAATCAATTGTGAAAATTCCGTTTTTTAACTATCAATTTTTTATTTACCTAACACAACGATTGGATGTTATTGGAGTGAAATATAGTTGATGATAGATAAAAACATCTCTAATGTCAAATTCAAAATTTTAATTCTTTTTTAGATCTATTACATAAAAGTTAATGTTAATATAAAGTATTCATCAACACATTATCTTTCACTTACAAATTAGAGATGTTCGTCAATTGTTTATCATTTAACTGCGATAAAAATATGACAGTTTTAAGTGTGTAACAATTTGACAGTTCGTGGTACAGCAGTTGATAGAGGAAGCTATGACAGCGTGAAGGAATGATGAAAGTGGAATTATATGTTTATCACCATTCCTAACACCTTTTTCTATTTCACAGCATTTTATAAATTACTTATAAGTTATAAATCGACAAAAAGTTAAAAATACAAATAATCGAATAGGAGAATCAGAAAAATAAGGAAATGTAGAGAGAATTAAGCACAATTTATTAATTGTCTTAACCGATATTTTAATTAAATCGATTGCACTACATCTAAAATTATAAATTTTTTTCTCAGAAAGATGCATTGGTGGTATGTATTTTTTTGTTTAGTAAATAACACCAAAAAAAGAAACATACTAATTTTTAAAATTATAATTCCAAACGTTCTGTAATTTGAATGAAATAGATGACATTGAATTAGCAGTGCGAATGATAATTTCAGAAAATCCATTTTGTTCTCATTCACATTTCCTCTCATTTCAGAAATAACACATACAATTATTGCATGTTGCAACAAATTTATTTCTTCTAACTTTTTCTTTTTATTTGACATTATTTATTCAAAACAATTGAAACAAATCGATCAGTCATCATTCCTCTATTTATTACAGTACAGTTTCTCTGTAAGTTTTGTTTTTTTTTGAAAAGGTAACGATGAAAAAACGAGAGAGAACTAACGATAAAAAATACTTGTCGTGCAATAATTGCAAGATGGAATTGGACGCGGTAGCGTTACCGTTACCTGTCAGTAATATTAGCAGCACCTTCATTATATAAACAATTTGTTTGTCGTTTCATTTCCATCTTCACTTGTTCAGAATATTTGTCTTCAGTTTAAAAAGGTAGTTTTTCATCATTTAAAAATTTACACCATTTATTTTTTAATATTTAATTAAATTTAGCTCAAATAAATTCAGCGGAACCTCCAAGAGATTTTGTATTTGCAGTATTGATAGGAATCATAGTGACGACGGCTTTGCAATCATTGATTAAATGTTTTTAATTATCATAATCCATGGCAATAAATATCGATTATTAAGTTGTAATAATCAATTAAGGATTAAATTCAATCATAATAATCAAGTGAGCATTAACTCAAATAATAGTAATCAAAGAGTATCATCGGCTTAAATGGCAATGGTTCAACATCAGTTTAATTCGGTCTTATTTTAAAAATATCAAACTAAAACCGAGTAAGTTCAGACAACCAAAAAAATCGTTGAAAAGCATTTCAGTAAATATTAATATTTGCATTTGATTTCTATAAAAAAATATTTTTCAATAAGATGCTTTTTATTTTTTTACTGCTAATATTCTTAAGAAGATACATGAGAAAATAAGCGATGTCAGTTAATGCCACATTATCACCAATTCATATTTTGATAATAATTAAGCACTTTTTACTTCATTTTTTCCTTTAGAAATGGAGGAAAAACCGCGTCCTCATTCGATGAAGACAAATGCCTTTGTAGCCATTGTCTTGGCCACTGGCGCTATTACGTCATGCATGATTTCATTCCCAATCATCTTCAGCTACGTCCAGTCATTGGAAAGTCATGTACAAACAGAGTTAGATCTGTGCAAGGTAAAAGGAACAATAAATATACACTAATTAATGACAGCTGAACCATTAGTCGTTAACAATTAATTGTTTTCATGTAGTCCTATTAAATCTCTTTTTTAAAACAATCATTCAAGTAATGTCTTACAAAAATAACAATTTATTATAGATAAAATTACAAATTTGGAGAATTTTTCAAGAATGAGAAATTTAACAAGATATGATTCAGATGCGTGCTCGAAATATGTGGAAAGAAATGCTTGAAATGAAAAATGATGAGAAGCATTTGACAGCGTTACGTGTTAATCGTGCGGCGAAAGTACTGAAAGGTATTGTAACAGATGGCGTGAATCGACGGCGACGTGATAATCAGGACCTGTGTTGTACATGTCAACGTGGACCACCTGGACCACCCGGTGAACCAGGAGCTGATGGTAAGTTCGATGATCGCGTGTAACTATTCAGAACAAAAGAAAAGTTAAGGTAAAACAATTTAGAAAAGGATGCAATAAATTTCAATGAAGACACAGTCAAACCACTTCGCTTTTCATATTTAATCTACTTTAAAAAAAGACGTGCAAAATGGAAAAAAAAAACTAAAATATATACTTTTATATTATAA